GACTTGGCTTGGAGGGAAAACTGGACAGGACTGCTGCCCTAGGGCTCTCAAAGTCACCGGGTGGGCGGAGGCCGGGGACCCTCCCAGCCGGGACTTTGGGTCCTTTCTTCCTTCTCCCACAGCCCTTCAGTCCGTCCACTCCTGCCGCCTCCCCGAAGGAAGGAGGCTCTCCTGCACCTCCCTCCAAGCACAGGCCGCCCTGCACGACAGCAGAACCACCCTGAAGCTGTTTTTACAGCTGAAGAGAGTAGCAGCCGCCTCGCCTCGCCGGGGTGATTTAGATGCGAGTGGCAAATTGCAGCTGTTGACAGGCACGGCTGCGACTGACTGCAGAAATCGATGGGTGATTCAAGGAGTGACCAGTGCTCGGAGAGGCAAATCACTGGCCGCCAGGTGGCTTTACAGCTCTCCAGGGCAGGGCGACCCTCCTCGGCCAGGCTGCGGTCAGGAGACCGAGGGGGAGGGGAGGCCGGCAGCTGTATGCCCTGCAGTGCATATCGGCCCAAGCCTTCTTCCAGGGGCAGCTTTGGAGCAATACATTCAGAGCAATACATGCAGACATTTCCAGAGGTGACCAAGAGGTGCAAATGGCTGTGCTCGAGCTGGCACCCACCCACCTGTCCGCCCGGACAGAGCCCAGCTTGGAGGCGTTCAAGCAAACTGCACAAGTGTGGAGGAACAGACAGGAACCCAGGAACACAAACGACCACAGAAAAGGTTGCGCTGGCTTTTGGCTGTTGCAGGAATTGACCCAGTGGTACTATATTTTTTAAAAGGCCACCCGTGTGCCAGTGAGTTCCACAGCCTCATTATGTGTTGCAGGGAGAAACATTTAGGACATAAGAGCCCTGCTGGATCAGACCAGTAAGGGTCCATCTAGTCCAGCATCCCGTCTCACACAGTGGCCTCAACCAGTTCCTCTGGAGGGCCGACAACAGGGCAGAGAGGCCAAGGCCTTCCCCTGATAAGAACCTCAGAAGAGCTCTGCTGGATCAGACCAGCGGTCCATCTAGTCCAGCATCCCGTCTCACACGGGGGCCAGCTAGTTCCTCTGGAGGGCCGACAACAGGGCAGAGAGGCCGAGGCCTTCCCCTGATAAGAAAACCAGAAGAGCCCTGCTGGGTCAGACCAGGGAGGGTCCCTCCAGTCCAGCCTCCTCTCATAAGAGGCCAGCCAGTCCCTCTGGAGGGCCAACAACAGGGCAGAGAGGCCGAGGCCTTCCCCTGAGAAGAGCATCAGAAGAGCCCTGCTGGATCAAGCCAGGGAGGGTCCATCCCGTCTCACACAGGGGCCAACCAGTTCCTCTGGAGGGCTGACAACAGGGCAGAGAGGCCGAGGCCTTCCCCTGATAAGAACCTCAGAAGAGCTCTACTGGATCAGGCCAGGGAGGGTCCATCCCGTCTCATACAGGGGCCAACCAGTTCCTCTGGAGGGCTGACAACAGGGCACAGAGGCTGAGGCCTCCCCCTGGTAAGAACCTCAGAAGAGGCCTGCTGGAGCCGACCAGGGAAGGTCCATCCAGTCCAGCATCCTCCCATAAGAGGCCAACCAGTTCCTCTGGAGGGCCAACAACAGGGCAGAGAGGCCGAGGCCTTCCCCTGATGTTGCCTCTGGGCACTGGGATTCAGAAGTTGAGGGCCTCGGAACGTGGAGGTTCCCTTTTGTGTATCCCAGCCTCCCCCCCCCCAAAGTGTACAGGATTTCCCAGAAGTACCAGACTTTCTTTCTCCGCCCACACCTGCTGCAGGTGCTGAGGACTCCTCCCGGAGGGACCATCCCCACAGGACTCAGGAGTCTGCCCCGTGGCTGGGCAGACAGACACATCCCCCTGCGGCAGGTGAAAGGGGGGCTCATTCTGCAGGCTCTTCTCTGGCACAGTATTGTGGCCCATTGCTAAGACCCACACCTGGCCACTATCTCCATGCCAGCCTGGTCTTCTCTCCCGCAAGCTTGCTCTCTCCTGGGGACTCTGCAAGGGGGCAGGGGTCTGCTGCTGCCTCCCCGTGCCCAGCTGGTGGGCTCTGGCACCCACGAGGGGAGGGCAGGTGGTTACAGCCCACCTGCCTCCTTGAAGAGCATCCCTGGGTGAGACCCGTCTCCAGGAAGACAACCTGGGGTGCTGGTGGGAATCGGGGCTGGTTTCTGAGAGAGCGCTCCGGCAAGGCCCCTTCCAGCTGCGGCAAGCCGCAGCACTGGCCTCCTGCAGGTGCAGCAAAACTTGCTGCTGCAGAGCAGGGGGAGGGAGGGCGGTCGGGAGGCGCAGTCCCTGGGGGCACATCAGGGAGGAGGGGAAGCGAGCCATCTGCTCTGGGCTATTTTTGACAAATAAATTAGGGGAAATGCTTTGGTTTGTTTTCGTGCAGCTCCATTAACCTGACAAGGAGGCTGCCTCCATCAACGTAAATGTCCTCCCCCCCCCACCACAGAGCCTGGCTTGGAGGGGGGGAGCTGCCATGGAGGGCAGGCAGGGCCCAAGGCTTACAGTCACCTGTGGGGGGGGGGGTAGAGTGGGATTGTGCCCGTCCAGAGCTTCCCAGGGCAAAGGCCTTGGCTGGGCTGCTAAACAGCTGCCTGTGAAATGAGCCAAAATCCCCAGGCAGGAAACTGGACCACACAAGAACTTCCACAATGCCTGTCCTGCTTGGCGGGGCAGACCTAACTACACAGGGCTGTCTAGATGGCCTCTGGGGGTACCACAACAGCCACCCCCCTTGGCTCACAGACAGAACTGCTTCCAGGGTGGGCTCAGCAGCAACCCGCATGCCAATCCCCAGAGGCACCCAGGAGTCCACCAGCCACAGCCCCCGGGGCTCTCCCTTAGGTCTGGCTCAGAATCCGTCTCACCTCCAGCCGCCCCCTCCCCAGGGGCACCCTGCGACATCCAGGGACTAATTGGAGAGCGGCACCTCCGGGCGCAGAGGAGTGCAGCCGCCGCCGCCTGCAGAGGCAATTCTGAGCCGCACTTGACATTCAATTAGGACGGTGGGTGCCTATAAAACAGCCCATTAAGCAGGGCCATAAATCCCCACTGGCTGTGCACCGGGCACAGAGCGCTCCCCGTCTGGTCCCTCTGGCAGCACTCCGCTAAAGAAGCCGCCGAAGGAGGCGTGGCCCTTGTGCCCGCTGCCCGGCGGGAGGGACACGCGCAAGGCCTGCTCCTTGGGTAACGCCGCCACCCGCCCTTCCCCTCGGGGGCAGGCGCCGCCCCTTCGATGGCTCCCAGTCTTGCCCCTTGCTGCAAAGAAGAGGCATGGCGGTCCCACAGTCTCTTGGGTGGGGGAAGCCAAGAGCAGGGCACCTGGCCCTGGCCGGCGAGGAGGCTGGAGGGCCAGGCTGCTCCGGGGCGTCTCCCGGGAACCTGCAGGAGGGGTCCCTCTGGGGCTCAGAGCCCCTCCCCTTCAGATCCAGCCTTCCAAGACAGACCCCCGTGCCTTGCCTTGCCTTGCCTGGGTCTCCTTCCTCCTAGGGAGCTGTGCTTGGGGGGAGAGTCCCTGACCGGCCCCCACCAAAGTGCCCTCCAGAGGAAGGAGGAGGCACTTTGGGCCACCCTGGACACTGGGAGGGGGGGGGGAAGAGAAGGCTGGGACTGCCCCCCCCAAGTGCAACACATCATTGCAGAGCTAGAGGGGAGAGGGACGCCCAGCCTGGTGCAGAACCCCGACCCCTTTCCCTGCCCTTGCTCTGCCCCCTGGGGGGGCGAAGCATCACGGCAGGATGACACCCCCTCTTGGCCTGACCCGCGTCACAGGGTGGCTGGCAAGGATAAAATGGAAGGAGACCAACCCAAGTCCCTCAGGAGGACGTCGGGAGGCAGAGAAAAAGCCTCCCCCCTTGGCCCCCCCTCCCCACAAGGGCCCAGTGGTGCAGGAGCTGGGTCCAAGCGGACTGAACCAGAGGAGGCGGGGCCGGGTGCGTCGTGGACGGAACTGCATCCGGAGCAAGAAGAGGGGTCTCTCCGAAGTACCCGTAACAGCAGAAATCTGTGCTTTATTTTGCAGGACAGAAATATCCCTCGGGAGAGTGAGTGTTCCAAAGCAGACACGTTGGAATCGCCATGGTTACAGGGCTGGCTCAGGAGGAGTAGCGAAGGAGGCAGAAGGAAGGAGGGAAGGAAGGAAGGAAGGAAGGAAGGAAGGAAGGAAGGAAGGAAGGAAGGAAGGAAGGAAGAGAGAGAGAAGGAAGGAAGGAGAGAGAGAGAAAGAGAGACAGAGAGAAAGGGAGAGAGAGAGAAGGAAGGAAGGGAGGGAGGAAGGAAGGAGAGAGAGAGAGAAAAGGAAGGAAGGAAGGAAGGAAGGAAGGAAGGAAGGAAGGAAGGAAGGAAGGAAGGAAGGGAAAAGAGACACAGAGAAAGAAAGAGCAAGAAAGAGATGGGGGGAAGGCAGGAAGGCTGGCTGGAAGGAAGAAAGGAAGAAGAGACAAAGAAAGAGCAAGGGGGGGAAAGAAGGAAGGCAGGAAGGCAGGCAGGCTGGAAGGAAGGAAGGAAAGGAAGGAAGAAGAGACAAAGGAAGAGCAAGAGAGAGAGAGAAGGAGGGAGGGAGGGAGGGAGGGCCCCCTGCCTCTTCTCCCAGGAGCTGTGCAAGAACAAGCCCCCCTGCCCTGATCTCCCTCCGCCTCGCCTCGCAAGGGCAGGGGAGCCTGCAGGAGAGATGGGGGGTTTATAGACTATATATATATATATATTTATATTTATATATATACCATTATTAAAAAATAAAATCCATCCTCGGGCATCGTACGCCCTGATTGCATGGCAGACAAAGGGCCCGGCAGGATGCCTCTTCCCGCCCTCCAAGCTGCAGGCAAAGCCACGGGCGGTGTGTGTGTGTGTGTGTGGGGGCGTCCCTCTCTGCTGCCTCTCCTGGCTTTCCCCAGCGGGCCAAAGGGGAGACTGAGGCAGCCCTGCGGGGTGGGCGGAGGAAGACCCCACCACCACCACCACCACCACCTCCCCGTGGAAGACCGAGCCCTCCTCCGCCGTGCCCGGGAGGGGGGGGGCAGTTCTAGTCCCAGCGGAAGTCCTGCCCGACCGTCTCGTAGAACCGGACGTTGTAGGGGCGGTAGAAGTCCTGCAGCTGCTCGAGGACGTCCGGGTCGATCTGGACGTGAGTCCGGCCTTTGGACTTGCCCAGGCAGCGGGGCGGGCCGCCCTCGGTGCTCCGCTTGAGGCAGGGGAAGCCCTTGGTCTTGTTGAAGTAGAAGTGCTTCTCCGTGACGAGCCGCCGGAGGCCCAGGAAGTCCTGGATGTGGCCCATCTCCCCCGCCGGGTCGGTGATGAGCCGCTCGCCGCTGACAAAGTGCATCTGGGAAAGAGGGAAGAAGCGGAGCCAGCCCTGCAGGTGGACCACGTAGAGGCCGATGCGGATGGCGTTCCAGGAGGCGTCCACCAGGCCCAGGCTGCGGTTGCGGAAGGAGAGGCCCTCGAAGGAGGGGAGGTCCGGCTTCTTGGAGAGCATCTGGGTGTAGTCAGAGATGGCCCGTGTCACCGGGTTGCGCACCACCACGATCAGCTTGGTGTCCCGCGACATGTTGAAGATGCGCTGGGGGGCCTCCCGGGTGACGAAGTAGCTGGGGGTCTTCTCCATGGTGATCTGGCCCTCCACCGTGCGAGGCATCAGCCGCCTGCGGGGAGCAGAGAGAGAGACAGAGAGAGAGAGAGACAGAGGGACGGGGGTGGGTGGGCGGTTAGTAAGGGGCAGAGCAGCCAGCCAGTTTAAGAACAGAAGAGAAGCCCATGTTGGGTCAGTGGCCCCTCCAGTCCAACACTCTTCTGTGTCACACAGAGGCCAAAAACGCCAGGGGCCATTGGGAGGTCCAGCAGTGGGGCCAGGAGGACACTAGAAGCCCTCCCACTGTTGCCCCCCACCCCCAAGCACCAAGAAGACAGAGCATCACTTGCCCCAGACATAAGAGAAGCCCATGTTGGGTCAGGCCAGTGGCCCCTCCAGTCCAACACTCTGTGTCACACAGTGGCCAAAAATGCCAGGGGCCTTCGGGAGGTCCAGCAGTGGGGCCAGGACACTAAAGCCCTCCCACTGTGGGCCCCTCCCAAGTGCCAAGAATACAGAGCATCACTTGCCCCAGACCGAGAGCTTCCATCTATACCTTGTGGTGAATAGCCACTGATGGACCTCTGCTCCATATGCTTATCCAGTTCCCTCTTATAAGAAAATAGGAGAAACCAGTGTTGGATCAGGCCAGTGGCCCATCCAGTCCAACACTCTGGGTCACACAGTGGCCAAAAATACCAGGTGCCATCAGGAGGCCCACCAGTGGGGCCAGGACACTAGGAGCCCTCCCACTGTCGCCCCCCACCCCCAAGCACCAAGAAGACAGAGCATCACTTGCCCCGGACCGAGCGTTCCTATCTATAGGTAAACACAAAGGCTTCCCTTGCTGGAAACCCAGTCGAATCCGACTCTAGGGATGTGGTGCTCATCTCCGTTTCCAAGCCGAAGAGTCAGCGCTGTCCAAAGACATTTCTGTGGTGTTGGGTATTACAAGTTGAAAACACTCAGTATATCTGGGGTTAAATGTTTGTTTATGTTACTCACAGGAAGTCACATGTTTCTCATGTAACCAATGTTCTTTAGATGTAGGAAGCCCTGGAATTTTCTCCCTGATCTAGGGATTGGATTGGGACTAAAGTGTCAAGGTGTATTACCATTTTATGGCTTCTCTTCCTGTCTTTGTTTGGTGTTCTGAAGAAGAAGAGTAGTCATAATCTCTCTCTTCTAGTTTTGTCTTTGTAGAGTAAGGATGTAGCCGATTTAGCTCTGTTGTTATTTTCATCCCAGTTACCCTTCCCCATGCCAGAATTTAGTAAAAACTTTATATTTTAATCACACGTGGACTCTGAATTATTTTATTCCAGGAATGCTGGACTATCTTATCTCGGCTAAATACCATTTTTTCAATATCTCACTATCACCCAACACGTGGTCATGTGGCCGGCATGACTAGACGCCGAGGTGCACGGAACGCTGTTATATATACCTTGTGGCTAATCGCCACTGGTGGACTTCTGCTCCATATGCTTATCTAATTCCCTCTTGAAGTTGTCCATGCTTGTAGCTGCCGCCACCTCCTGTGGCAGCAGGTTGTGTAGTGGTTAAGAGCGCAGAGTCTAATCTGGGAGAACTGGGTTTGATTCCCCAGTCCTCCCCCACGTGCAGCTGCTGGTGTGACCTTGGGTCAGTCACAAGTTTTCCTCAGAGCTGTTCTCTCAAGGGCAGTCCTCGAAAAGAGCTCTCTCAGCCCTACCTCCCTCACAGGGTGCCTGTTGCGGGGAGGGGGAGGGAAAGGAGATGGCTCTGAGATTCCTTCTGGTAGTGAAGGGCCATGGGGTATAAATCCAGTCTCTTCCTCCTCCTCCTCCCCACATTGGGGGGGGGGGAGAGGTCTAGGCTGTGGCCTCTCCTCCCCTGCGGAGGTGTCCAGCTGAGAAGGACAAGCTGTCCATTCCTGCCGACCACTTCTAAGGTCAGGGTCTTTCAAGAGGGTGGCCCGGCTGCTCGAGGAGACAGGGAGAAGGAGGGATGTTTTGCAAGGAACAGTTCCCTGCCCCGATGCTGGAGATGGTGCTGAATATAGATTCATGTGCCACCAAACGGCAGCGCTGGCATAGCCTTTGCAAAGGGCGGGACAGTTCTCTCTCTCTCTCTCACACACACACACAGACACACTCCATCCCCAGAAGGACTCCATATTCAGTGCCCTTTCCGGAATGGAGGCAAGGAATCCTTACCCTCAATCTTCCCTCTAAGCTGTGGAGTCTTGTGAGTAGAAATCCTACTTTGTGAGCTCCCGGCATTAAAGTGGTGAGCGAGCGATTCGGCTGCTGCATCAGTTAGCTTGCTCTGGAGCCCTCCTGCCTGAGCTGAGGCAAAAATGGGTGAGCTGGAGGCTTAAAAAACTGTGAGCCAGCTCACACTCACTCAGTTTAGAGGGAACGCTGCCCGAAACACCTCTCCGCTTTTTGTTTGCCAGTTTCTGGCCTTGCCAAGTCAGGAGTCGGGACAGGGCTCCTCCTTCTCCTCCCCCGTTCTGGACCGTGGCCTCTTCCTCCCCCCCCCCCCCCGGCGGGCCCGAGACCCCTGCAGCCCCCCC